TATACGCGTTTTTTTGTTTGGCCCTATCATTTCCTTCATAGAACGAAGGCGGTTGGTTTATGACAATTCAGCAATCCATATTCTAGCCTGCGAGCGAGGAGCAAAGCGATTCGGCGGGAGGGAGTCTGGTGTAGAGTCTTGTCTCGCGGCTTTACCGCTTTATTTCGCGCGTGCTTGTGCTCCAACGTGAGCCCGCTCGCAGGCTATCCATATTCTGTAGCACGGATTTTGTCTAAACTACTCCTTGGGTACCCGAGCTAAGCATTTTTTCTTTGTTATAGGTTGGTTATTCCATTAATTGATAAAAATGGAGATGGTCAAATATCAGTCGAAGAACTTGCTGCCTGGACAGGCAGGAGTATGAAAAATTTTTACAAACAAGAGGCCGAGAATCGGCTAAAGACACTGGACACGAATAAAGACGGCAAGGTCTCTTGGGAAGAATATATCAAGGGCGCTGAAAACAGAGGAGGTCAGTAATAGCGCCCTTTATGTTTGTGTGGGGTCAGGAGGAGGGAGGCGTACGGGGGGTGGGTAGGGTGCGTAAAGACTGACTGTACTGTGATCTAGGAACTTTTAAAAATTCTAGGCCTTTATGTACTATGGCAAATACTCCTTTTAGAAACAAGCTTAATGTTTTTTTTATTGCGGATTCAACTGAGCAAGGAATCATTCTTGAAACATAAATCACGAATACATAAATTGCGAGGATTAAAAATAATGGAACTTTGAAGTTTCTAGCTTGAAGGGTCAATTGTCTCACGGTCTTATTTCGCAGGTTTTACAGAGAAACAAAAACAGCGCCACAAAAGAAGATTTGATCATGCTAACGCGAAGGAAGACGGTTTATTATCACGTGATGGTTTGATTTCTATGTTCCATCCTGAGGAAAATCCAAGCATGTTTGGAGCCATAGTTGAAGTAAGATTTCGTTGTGTTCTTTGTTCTTTGTAAACCCAGAGATATGTATCTTATTAACCAACCGTGAAGGCCATACTTTAGTATATCGAAACGAGGTTCGTACAAAAAAGACCAAGCGCTGATATTCTCACCGTACGTTCCTGGGCTAGCTTGGTTCAAGAAACTTAAAAACTAAGAATGGTCACGCGGAATCATTCGGGTCAATGCCCGTCCCGATACTCGGGAAAATGGTTGATTTAAGTATTTGCCCCTCTGAACTAAGTTAATCGTGATAAATATTACAGTAGTACGGTCTCGTAACTGTAACATGTTCTAGGGTGTTTAAAAACTGTGAACTTCCTCACGTCAAATATGCAGATACAACGTTGGTCAAGGTTTATTATCATGAATTTGTGTTGTCCATAATGTTCAGAATGTAGCTATTTCAAGTGGGTTTTTGCAGAGGTTTGTGAGCTCAAATTATTTTTACGGAGTACAGTTGTGAAATTTACCTAGATGTACATGCAAATGCAGCTCGCCATTTCGTTTTGAGACGTTTTTGTTGCTTCCTTCATCGCTCGTATCTAAGCTTTCCTCGACCACGAGTCAAGAAATAACTGTTGACTGTGTGCGAGTCTGAAGTCGAGTTTGTCCTCTCTGACAACGTATATCATTCAAGAGAGAATGAAAACTAAGAGAGTTGAGGCCTTATTCCCAAGGTAATCCTAAGTTATTTTTAGACATGATACCCAGTTCTTCTGCGGATAATGTTACCACGCGCGTTGTGTGTGGTTATTTTCGTTGTGGATGAAATTACGCGTGGGCTAGCAGTTCACGTGAGTAAACTTAGCGTCACAGGATTGGCCATTTCCGAGACTGAGAAAGATCTATAAATACCTTAAGAGAGATTTCCTTGGGAATAAAGCCTATATAGGGGATTGACTCTCCTACACCCTTCATCCTCTCCTGACGCACTGTGTAATCTCTTTAGGAATTCATGGAATTCGTGGATACCGACAAAGATGGGTTTCTATCATTCGATGAGTACAAAGGTAAACATATCTCGCGGATTTTAATGACCATTTTCCTAGGGGAGGTGAGCATCGGATATAAGTAGGGACCTCCCAAGGGGGGATAGCATATTTCCTTCATCCACTTAAAATTTCACTTTTTCTCCCTTGTTCCCTATAATAAATTCTATTGTTACCTAAAATGTTTTGTCACTAAGTTTCCTTCAAATGTAGAGATATCCCTTGTTCGCTCAAATTAATCCCAAAAATATCACTTGTTCCCTTGAAATAAATGATCAAGTTCCCTTGCTCCCAAAAACCCTGAGAGGCCCTCAAAAGCTTAATTAATAAAGTTTTAGATGATGCTGACCCGCGTAAATTGCTAACTATTTTTTCCTGCAGGTAAAACGGTAGATACTGGCAGCACGGACCAACGGACCGCTGAAGAATCTTTCAAAAGGCTTGATCAAGATAGTGATGGAAAACTGAACAAAGTGAGTATTAAGGAGTGCATTTATTCTTGTCTTAAATTCCCTGTGAAATGAAATAAAAATATTTTCTTGAAGGAAACTCAACATTGTAAAGATTAGAAAGAGTAGCTTTTTCCAGGTTCAGTAGCTTCTTAAAATGTTTCCAAGGTGGCGAGCTAAAATAGAAAACTTCGCTGGAAAAAAAAGAGAGTGCCGCCATTGTAATGAAAGACTGAAGCACTGCAGCCAACTAAACAACCGCTTACAGGGTACATCTACCTTTCATACCAGTTCGTAGTGTCTTATTCTTTTTACATGTCGCTGATAATGCGTTTTATTAAAGGAAGAGATGAAACTTTGGTTGGCTGCCGTTAATACTTCCTCTCAAGCAAAGAACCAAGCAAAACGGCAAGTTAGCATGGCCGATGATAATAAGGTGAGGCTACTGTGATAAAAGTCAAATGAAAATTGGAAAGCTGCTTGCAACTGAAGGTTGTTGGACTGAAAGTTTACCATGTTAATCCACACAGGATGGTGTTTTAGGTGAAATGGAAATTCTCAACCACATAGGAGTTTTCACTGGACGCGAAGGGCTTCGGACAGGAGAAGGAGCCAAGGACGAATTATGAAGCTCTGAGTTTCTGTTGGGTTATCGCGTCGCAATGCTGTTGTCACAGAGTGCAATGGCAGATAAATCGAGAATGATGTTTCAACAGAGAGATACTTCAGAATGAGCGTGAAGAAGAAGACAAAGGCAACAAACAAACAGACAGTATAACTGCTTTATAGCAGGCAGGTTTTTGTATTCAGTTTGTGACAGCAATATTGTTAAACAGCGGCTACGAGGTAAAACATGAGGTGAGTGACTAATCTCGTACCCAGATCTCACTCTGTTTGACTCTGGCCGTGGAAGATTTGGGTTCGAGCTTAGTTAGTGACAGATACGAGTTGGTTTCTACTGTTTTCTGTTTGTTTATTTGTTTGTTTGTTTGTTTGTTTGTGATATATTTAAAGCAGCTCACTTTCGTGCCGTTATGGTCCAGTAACATTGTCTCATAAGTTTTACAGTTAATCTAGCAATTGTTTTGCATCTTTTCATTAAACCTATTGATCACGGAAAAACTACGGCTCGAAAGTAATGTGAAAGCATTTACAACCAGTATGTTAGAAATTTAAACCAAACTGGCAGAAATCAATAACACGGAAAAGTGGCTCATCAATGAAAAAAATAGATGATAAGTCTTTTTAGAAGCACTTAAAGACCCCTGTGGTGGAATTTACCTTCTTTGATGTCAGACGCAATATGAAATATCGATGAGTGCTTCTGTGCAGGGTTAAAATAATACGCTAGACTGGTCATAAATAAAAGAACTTATATTGCAAGGACGGTTGGGTTTACGTTATAAATTTACATTTTCCGTTTACGTTATAAGACGCATACAAAGCTCTGTGTGATAGCGACACGTGAGAAAAAAAAACTATTTTTGTTGAAAATTACTGAACATATTTCTTTGTTATTAAATTTAATTATAGTCTTAAAAAATCATGGAAAGTTTAGACCAGTTTGTGAGTTCGTGACTCAAATATTTGCTGTAAAAAGCAGTTCCTTGTGGTTACGTCCTTTCCCCTCCCGTGTTTACTCAAGGGGTTCTAAATTTGAGCTCTTTTGTTATAAAGGACCATGTTTGACGACATTGCAAATGAGCTCAACGCTAGAATGCGCATCGTCCGATATGACTTATAGCGACGTGGCGTAACGCGAACGAACGGGAAACGTGGCCCAATTTTGAATAAATTGGTAAATCGCAGCTATTTGCTAGCTTCTTTAAGATTGCTAATCCGCTCTCTCGCTGCGAAAAGTCACGTTTAATCAAGATGTCTGGAGTTTGGAAAACCTATTGTGTTTTGCTGCTATGTGTTAGCTCTTTAAAAGTGCTTGCAGCGGACAACACATCTTCTCAAAAGGGCAAAGACGAAGAACATGAGGACGCCAAAATGACAGATGAAGAAGTCACTGAAGAATTAACGAAAACCATGAGGTAAGTGTACCTCCTTTAGTATGGATAGTCTTAGTAATCTCGAGGTAGACGTTAGAAATTGTGCATAGTTTTGTCTTATTAGACAATGATATTACGAGCTTTCGATCTCACTGTTCGTTTATTTAATTGGAGTGTAAAAACAAAACTGGAAAACATCAACTTCTATACACTTTTGGTCACAGTCCTTTGATTTTCGATTTGTTTGACTGAAAGCTTTCAATTAATCGCAGCTAAATATGATAGTTTCTAATCAGTACTCAAGCTGTTTGAACTGTGCCAGGGATTGCATATATAATTAGTGACACTCGAACGTTGAATATAACTTGAAATAGATTTTGTTTGTATTTTGCTTAAAACTGATATATAATATGTAAGTGCGTACTTCAATACAATGGTAATATAACATGGGCTTTCAACTTCGCTAGTCACTAGGAAAACCGAAGTTTTATTTTGAACACAACTATTTATACAGACAAAAATGGAAATACTTGCAGAAGGCTCTCTCAGATTGTGCTCGGCTCGCCGCTTCGTCTTCGAGCAATCTCAAATAAGGTTTGAACAACGAACGAGCTTGTCACAAACACACTCTTAATATGAAACCTTACTTCTGCTTTATTCTTGCTAGACTGGAAATACTATAGATCTCTGATGATTGTGAAAAAATGATTTGTACTCATATTTTCAATTCGGTTTTAATTTATTTAGCGCCCACGAACAGAACAGCGGTTTTTGTTTCAATCTACTGCCGCCCACAAACACTACAAAATTTCCAGCGGTTGTGTGAACTGTAGCGTCGTTCGCTTCAAACGACATTGTTGCGGGGGGGGGGNTTGGGGGATAGTAACATTACTAAGGTATAAGATTGAACGACTCATTGTTACGGCAAACTTCTCAACTTTTTTTTTAGAGAAAATGTTTTTTAAACTTTGGCATGGAGAACTTAAGGTAGTATTTAAAGGTCTCTATGTCTTTATTTATGTTCCTTGCAGAACGGTTCTATCAGAGGCAGATACAAACAAGGATGGTAAAATATCACTAGACGAGCTGACAGCCTGGACACAGAAAGCTTTGAGAGCTATTCACAAACGAGAAACTAAAGATCGACTGGAAAAACTGGACGCGAACAAAGATGGACTTATCTCATGGGAGGAATTTCAAATGAGTAAAGAAAACATAGGAGGTACTAATGGCTCCTCACCCCTCAGTGGCGGATCTAGGGGAGGGGCCCGGGCGCCCGGGTCCCCGGGCCCCCCTTATTATGGGTAAAAAAAGAAGAAATGACAGAAAGAAGAAAAGTCGGCAGGGCAATTAAAACAATATCGGCCCCCCCATTTAGCTCAAGGTCTGGATCCGCCCACTGTCCCTACGGATCAAAAAAAAAAAAAACATCGCCCCACTTGAAGGGTCTTGTTTGTCAAACACTTCCTTCATTCTGTTTGGAAGCGTGCTCTTCTTCCTATATTAACTCTCAGATGACCAATTTGAGTTAATAACAAGAAAGGAGTTAATCGCTCATATAGGCCTTATTCCCTGCGTTCCCTCTCAAGTTGTTGTCCAGATTCCACCTGGTTTCAGAAATCCTGGTGGGCCAAGAAATAGCCAATCATGTCAAGCGGATTTTGCCCACGTGGACAGTCAAAGTGGCTTTATACGCATTTTCATCTTCCACGAAAACACCCACGCAACGCGTGTGGTAAAATATGCGGAAAACTGGGTACCATGTCTGAAAATAACTTAAGAGGCATTACCTTGAGGATTAACTCTAGTATTCTTCATGCTCTCTTGATTAAAAACGATTTGTTTCAACTTGTAACAGTTGATTCAGTTCAGCATTATAGATAAAATTTAAGAAAGTATAGGGATGTTAAGTTAAAAGAAATTGCTAACACAAATACTTTCAACCAATGATCAGACAGTCACTAAAACGCACCTTGTCCCTAATAAGTAATGGTAATAGGACTGAGTGGAGTCTAAAATTCGGTCTATAAAAATACGAGAAAATCGGGTGACCGCGCAGCGGGAGTCCGATTTGTTTATCACGAGTATGATTACAGACCGGGTTGGACGACACGAAGTCTTATTACCAATTAGTATCACCCAGCTAGTGGACTAATGCAAATCCTGCATTTTAATTGGCTACGCTACTAGAGGACTATTAGTAATAGTCCTCGAGTCGCGAAATTGGCGCGTGATGCTTTCTTTC